TAATTAAAAATTAAATTAAATAATTGCGAGTCTTTAATTTCTCCTTTGAGAACTCACTTGTAAACTTGAATGAAATTTTCTCTTTTGATAATTTCAGAATTGTAACTTCTTAATTTAAAATAAAAGAGATAAGGTAACCTCGTAAGGTAAGAATAAAATAAAAATGTAATAAGAAAATAAATTTTAAAAGAAATAAATAACAATTTAAATAAAGAAATAGAATTAAAAAATTATGCAATTAAAAAGAATTCCGCAGAATTTTGATTATAGTTTATCTTCCTTGGTGTAAATTTCCACACAACTCAGCATCAAGTTGTCACCGATTAAATTTGGGAGAGCGTATTTTAATTGGTGATAACAATTATTTTTGTATTTGTGTGGATCAGAATGAATAGGTTATTAACGAATTAATTTTGGTATTAGCGAATAATTTTGATTAAAGAAGATAAGAAACTTGTTTAAATAAAATATTTATTTTATTTATTTAGTTTTCCTTAGTCGAAACTAATTAACTTATTACAAAGTTTTCCTTAGTCGAAACTAATTAACTTGTTAGAAAGTTTTCCTTAGTTGAAACTAATTAACTTGTTACAAAGTTTTCCTTAGTCGAAACTAATTAACTTGTTACAAAAGTTATTTACAGTATGTCTAATTCGAGTTCTTTATATACATGCTAGTTAATTATAAGCTCATTTGGGTTTGCGCGCCCGTTTAGGTTCATGAGCCCATATGAGCGCATCGTCACTAATTTCTACTAAATATAGTTAAATAAATATTAACGTGTTACGAATTAATTAATAAGAATAATAATACTTGTTCATATAAACCATTATTAAGATGTGACTGCTTATTGGTCATCAATAAAATTTTTTGCTGATCTTTTCGATATATAATGCAACTTTTTTAATTTCCTTTTTTGATAATCAAATTCGACATCAAAAAATTTTTTGTCACATATTAATATACTTGAAAAGAAATGTCTCTAACGACAGAAATGGAGGATACAGGAACAAACATCACAGTTTTAATTGATAATTATGATTCATTTACCTGGAATGTTTACCAATACCTTACAGAACTTGGTGCACAAGTTGAAGTATTTCGTAATGATAAAATCACAATTGATAAAATTGCCGCATTGAATCCCAAAAATTTGGTAATTTCTCCAGGTCCAGGTCAGCCATCAACTGACTCTGGAATATCTTGTGAAGTTATTTCTCATTTTTCTGGTAAAATACCGATTCTTGGTATTTGTATGGGTGAACAATGCATTTTTGAAGTATTTCGTGGTAAGGTTGATTATGCTGGTGAAATAGTTCATGGTAAAACATCTACTATTAAACATGACAGTGTTGAATTGTTTATAAATATGCCAAAGGAAATATCTGCTACCAGATATCATTCTTTAGCTGCTCAACCAAGCACAATTCTTGATGAATTGATGTCAACTTGTTGGAGTGATACTAAGGTTTTAATGGGCGTAAGACATTGTGAATTCACCATTTAAGGAATTCAATTTCATCCAGAATGCATTCTTAGCAAACATGGAAAAATCCTGCTTGGAAATTTTTTGAATCTTAAAGGTGGAGGGAGCATGGGATGAAAACCCAGAGTTTAAGGTAAAATCTCCATTAGCAAAAACCAAAGTTAAAGAAGACTCAGTTTCCAGCATATTAGAAAAAATAGTCCTACAAAGATACAATGATGTTGAAGCAGCCAAAAAACAACCAGGATCATCACCATACAATTTGAAAAGATTATTATTGCTTCATATAGCTCCACCTTTAATATATTTTTCTGCCAGACTTAGACAAACCTTGCCAAAATATCCAGCAATAATGGCAGAAGTTAAAAGAGTCTCACATAGTAAGGGGAACATTGACCTTACAGTAAATGCAGCAGAGCAAGCACTTATTTATGCAAAAGCTGGTGTGTCTGTCATTTCTGTATTGACAGAACCAAAATGGTTTAAAGGATCATTGGATGACATGAGACAAGCCCATGATATTTTATCTAGTATTCCAAACAGACCAGCTGTTCTACAAAAAGATTTTATTATTGATACTTATCAGATAATGAAAGCTAGAATATATGGTACAGATACTGTGTTATTAATAGCTGCCATATTAGATGATGAAAAATTAGCAAAATTATATAACTTTGCAAAATCTCTTGGGATGGAACCGTTGGTAGAAGTTAACAGCAAAGAAGAGATGACAAGGGCAATCAAATTAGGAGCAAAGGTTATTGGGGTAATAATTGTAACTTGCATACATTTGAGGTTGATCTATCTACAACCTCACAATTGGCCAAAATGGTACATGAAGGTGTAACTTTAGTGGAATTAATAGCAGGGCAGATGTGACTGGATATATAGAACAAGGTATTGGTGCTTTATTAATAGGTAAGGCAATGATGAAAGCTCAAGATAAAAAGGCTTTTATTGATGAAATATTAGGAATCAAAAAGGTAGAAACTAAACCTACTATTACCAAGTCTCCCATCAAACCATTGGTGAAAATATGTAGTATAAATACAATTGATGCAGCAATCACAGTTACAGAATTGGGTGCAGACCTTATAGGAGTGATATTTGCCAAAGATTCAAGAAGAAAAGTAACACTTGATCTATCTTTGGAAATAGTTAATGTTATTTGTGAAATGCAATCTGATGATTCTAATAACATTAAAAAGGAAGATGGGGAAAGTGAGGAAAATATAAATGATTTGGAAAACTTACCAAGTAATTATGACTGGTTTAGGTCACATGCAGATACAATCTACACATCTAAAAAACCATCAACAATGGGGGTTTTTCAGGATCAGTCTGTTGAATACATCACAATAATTGTATAATACTTAACTTGATTTAATCCAGTTACATGGAAACGAGCTACTTGATATGCTGAAATTCTTACCTAGGCCAGTAATTAAAGCATTTCATATTGATGAACATTTTTGTGCTCCAACACTAATCACACAAATAAAAAATAATAAAGATGCTGGTCAAACTCACGAAGGAGGGAATAAGTTTTGATTGGAATATAGCATTAAAGATTAAAAACAGTATTAAAAATTCAAAAACTGGTAAAGTCAATGACAAATTTCCAATAATTTTGGCAGGAGGATTGAATCCTGAAAATGTAAAGGAGGCAATTGAAAAGGTAAAACCTTGGTGTGTTGATGTGTCAAGTGGAGTGGAAACAGATCAACAAAAGAACAATGATAAAATCAAAGAATTTATTCAAAGGGCCAAATCAATTATTTATAAAGATGAGATTATTGAAACAGAAGAGAAAAGTCAAGATTATGAAAAGCAAAATGGAAAATCAATCAATGAAAAGTCAAATGGAAAATTGATCAATGAAGATGAATTTTATGATGAAGATGAGGATGATGATGAGTATAAAGAAACTGGCATAGCGAAATAAATAGTACTATGTAATATTTATAATGATATAATAGATTATATAGTCTTGATATATAAATATTTATTTAATAATTTATTTATTTATTTATTTTATTTATTTTATAATATAGAAAGAAATAATAATTTTTTTTTGTTATTTATTTAAATTCATTTTTCATTTCCCTTAATCTTTTCATTATTTCTACTGGATCT